TTAAAATCTTCTTTTCAAGAATCACTGGGCCAGAAAAGTTGAAACTTATGTGGAATCATCCTAGGATATAGTGAAGATTCTAAATTCTTAAAACCATGACCCTCAGTGGTAGGGCGGGGCCACAATAGGCAATCCAAGTTTTATATTGAAACAAATAAGAAAAATCTTTGAAAATCGTCTTCTCAGGAACCAATGGGCCAGAAAAGCTGAACCTAAATGGAAGAATTCTTGGATAGTGTAGGTTATATATTGTCTAACTTATTACCCCTAGGGATAGGATGGGGTCACAATCAGTATTTCAAGGGGGGGGGGCAAATCTGTTAAAGAAAAGCATGGCCAAAGTTACTCAGGTGAGCGGTCTGGCCTATGGGCCTCTTGTTTTTATAAGTCTCTTTCAAAAGGACTAAACTCACTTTTATAAATTCAGCTGAAATTCATAGAATATATAAACTTGACATTTTCTCACATAGAAAGACTAGGAACCATGAGAAAAAACACTGGTTTGATTTATCTAACTCGTATATGTTCATCTAATCTCCAAATCACACAAACCCAGATCGAACGTGGTGGTATTCAAGCTTATATCTCCAAAAAAAACTGAAGGCCTCGGGTTTTTAAAAGACAATTTATAGTCTTTCGATTTTCTATATGAAAGCTTAAAGTCCATATTAGGTTAGAGTATTTCCATAAATAGTCTTTAAAAATCCCATTAGAATGTGAAGAACAATTTATCAGATAGCATATAACTTCAATTCTTTTTTTTACTCACCTGAGCACAACTGACAAAGCCAAGTAATCTGTCTTGCGATTGTTTGTTATCTGTCTGTAAAGTTTTTACGATTTCGACTCTACACGCTAAAGTACCACTTGGGCAAAGAAATACGCACGCTAACTCTTGATTCCCGCCTACATTTTGCAACCATTTAATTCAATATAAATGGCAAATTGTCAATATATTCTTTGTTTACTATAAAGAACAGTTCAATGGAAATTGATGAATTGTCTTAATACCAGCGCTAAACAGTAAATTAGCCACACCTCTAGCTCTTGAAAAAAGGGGGTAGACGAAATTTTCCATTGAAATCGGACTTTCAGGCATCACCATATTTTGAAATAGTCTTGGATATCATTAAATGTTCCTTATATCTTTTCTTATGTTTTAGGCAAATAAATAAAACAAAAATATATCAATAAAATATAATGTTTCAGTTGTAAATCGCTTTGGATTGGTGGAAAATAAGCATTTTTGTCGGTTTTTGTCAATAAACATATGCCCCCCCCCCGTGTCACACAAAAAGCTTTTGTATGAATTTGTGAAAGATGTTTTAAAAATATTTTCCGTTTTCCGTTGATTTCTATAGTAAAAAAAAAACGTTTTACCAAAATTTTAGAGTTATCTCTTTGTTTACCCAAATAAGTATTGTTTTATGAAAATCCACATAATTATCTATAAAAAAAAAAATATCAAAAATTCATCGAATATGTTAATTTTGAAAATTGACTTGGTGGTAGGCGGGAGAACAATGCTATCGTTCGCAGTTCTTTCAAACATACCTGTCACAGAGGATCTTTGGGTAAAATATGGTTCATTTTGTCAAAAACACAAAAAAGACAAAGTGAAAATTTTGTGACATCTTTTAAAACTCTCCTCAGGAACCATTGGATCAGAAAAGTTGAATATTTGTTTCATAACAAAAACTCCTGTTTGTTCAAACTATAACTCTTGGGAATATTTAGGTTGGCCACAATTAGGGAATAAAAGTTTAAGTATAGGATAGAAATATATATTATGGATATACTAGTATATGTTTGTTTTAAGGGAAAAAAATCTCAAGATCAGCAAAGTCAAGTAAAATTGAGGTGACATCCTCAGTTCTAAAGATACAAGTTTTTTTTTTCAAATCTTGACCCCATGTTGTATAAGGAGGGGCCACTATGGGGAATCAAAGTTTTGCTTTAAGCGTATATACAGGAACAGCAAAGCCATGGATAGTCATATATATACGGAAACATCCCCAGATTGTGTGGACTTAAGTTTGTTCAAATCGTGTTCCTTGGGACTAGGGCGGGGTCACAACAGGGATCAAAGCTTTAAATCGCAAAATATAATGGAGAAAATCTGCTGATTACGAATAGCAGGGCCATTATGACTCTAGTCCGAGATATGGATCATATGCGTATTTTGTAGCCGAGATCAGCGGGATAGAAATTATAGGAAAATAACCCATAAGTTTTTTTCAACTTTTATTTTTATGTTCCCGTAAACGAAGTTACGGGGGTATATTGTTTTTTTTCCCTGTCCGTCTGTCTGTCTTCTGTCTGTCTGTTTGTATGCAAAATCTATAACCTTGCCCATAACGTTTGAGTGGGTGGTGTTGTGGCTTTCATATTTCACAGGTGTATTCCTTCTGAAAAGACCTTCTTTGGGTACCACCAAGTTTGACCTCTTGACCTTTGACCTTGACCATAAATTCTGAACAATTGGAATTAAGGCTTTCAAAACTTCACAAGTGTATTCATTGTGACAAGATCTTTCAGTGGGTATAAATATTTTTGACCTTGACCTAAGAGTTTGAACCACTTTTTAAAAACTTAAACATTGGCTATAACTTTTAACAGTTAGAACTGGGGCTTTCATATTTCACAGGTGTATTCCTTGTAACAAGATCTTCCTTTTGGTACCAACACTTTTGACCTTGACCTTGATTTTGACATGTCTTTGAGAAAATTCAACCCTCGCCATAAGCTGCCATACGGGGCCATCAGTATTTCACAAACACATCTTGTTTTTACACATGGTCGTATGGATACGGAAAAGATATCTTTGGCAATATACAATCATAGTGATATATATTTTTAAAAAGCTGTGACCCCCTCCACCTTTCCATTGGATTTAGGATTTTGGTGTTTTGGTTTCTAGGTTTTGGGCATTTAAAGATGTCCTCTGAGTTTTACCACTACCCACATTAAAGTTTTTTTTGTAACTTTGGTGATTAATCTCAAATTTCGGTCGTGAAAAAAATGAACAGTACGCAATAACTATTTTAAAAACGATATCAAAATATATGGTCGCGTTTGCAGCGTTAAATAAATATACAAATCCCGTTATCTTTCAAATACTGTATATTAAATGAATAGATTCAACTTGTTTGACTTGTTTTCAAATAAAATTGTGTAAAATAAGATAAAAGACTTGCAGACTTAAAAAAAAATACAGACATATGTGCAGGAGTTAAAGCAGCAGATCTCTGGTATAATTTAGGCTTCCAAATTGTAAGTCATTTGAATACAGTGTATTATATATTCATTTGATGTTGATAAATTTTGCAAAGTTTCATGTGCTTAATTAAAAAGTTGTATTCATCAGGTTAGTAGAACTTTAAACATATGACATCAGTTACTTGTAAACAAATGTTAAAAAATTCAAATACACATATATAGATACAGATTGGGCAATGGAGGATCTGTAAAGATTATTGCTCCATAATCTGATGAAACTAATCTATTTAAATTATAAATGACCACCATATTTTTTAGGCCAATAACTACTGCAAGCAGGGTTATTTCTAGCTGTATGTATTTTCGGGCTGTCGCACTTGCACATTATTTTAAGTCGACCTATTTGTGTTAAAACAACAAAAACAAGGAAAACAACACCATGTTTTCACATAACTGCATTTCCCATAACTTCGAAAACTATAAAGAATCTTCTCTTAATTAAACTATTGAACCAATTTCAACCAAATTCTGTAGGATAGAAAATGAATTAACACCTGATACTTAAATTAAGCAATCAAAATTACATAGCTAACCTCGACGAATGTTATCTATAAGTAGGTCTGAAATTGTTTTGGTTATGTACATTCCAATTCGCAAGCAGGATGTTTGGGTGCTTGACAATGGGCTTGCTGTAGACTTTTTAACAATACCGTAAATGTACGTAGGTCCGATCCAGCATCAACTGGAAGTCTAGCAGTATGCGTTTCGGTCCAGGTGGACCTCACAGTTACTTAGAAATGGATCAAAAAATTGAACGAGGATTTACATCGGGAGGTGGGGAGGGTTGTTTCCTCTGATCATTCATCAGCATTTGATTAACCATTTCGATGTAAACCCCCACCCCTCTCCTACGCCCCGATGCTTATTTTCCTTTGCAATGTAAAAATGGCACCGCTATCAAAGATGTGTCAATACCACAAAGAAAAAGATATTTGCAAACGAAGAATACACCAGGTAATGTACATTGTTAATCCTGGACGTACGATTACTAGAATCTGTCTTATTTGATTAATTACTGCCCAAGAGTTTCAGTTAGATTAACCCTGTGGTAATAAAGAACGCCTTTAGCTATCGTTAATGTAGTCATTAATCTACTACTCCACAAAAGAATTTACTTAGCACCCGTTATTGGTCCTTAACAAAGTAATACTTGATAAAGCTACCGGCGACCTCCCGAGGAAGGGAGACAACTTTAAATAAAGACAAAATATAAATTCATAGAGGCGAGGACAAAAGCCTGAAAGCAATGAGAAATGGCTCCACTCTTATCGCATTGTGGAGAAAATGTTTTGTATCCTAGGGTTGGAGTGACCAAGGTGCTTTTTTTTAGGAGAAACGTACGTGTATAGGTATTTTGTATGAATATAAACTAATTATTTTAAATTTATTTTTTATAAAAGAATTAAATGTAACTGAGCCAAGTACGAGCAGTTTTCATCACATTGAGTGTCATATTTTCATAAATTGTGTGCTTCAACAATCGTAAGATATCGGCGTAAAAGAATTTTAGCCTCCGAAAATTGCCTTTTGCTCCAAAAACTTTCATTATATTTGATATCACGTAATCGGAATTAAATCAGTTGCATATGAAAACAAACACAAGTTTAGATCTTTATTAGACATTATCGCATAGTCTAAAAAAAATCGAATATTGAAAATATTTTTTTTTTATATACAAATATTTTCTTACCAATTCAAGAAATTTGAACTTTTAGTGTATAAAAGAACCATGTCATGGCATCTTTTCCGACACGTGATTCTTCTTCTCGTTCTGATTGGTGGAGTCTCCAGCTGCTCTAACCCAGGGCCCGTAACTCTGAACGACAAGATCCAATACTCTGACGTCATTGTCTCGGGTACTATCAAATCCAAAGTACGCGATGGGGTTTATTCAATGGAGGTAGACTGTGTTCTCAAAGACAGTAGGGCAGATATTCCTGGCTCTCTCAACATCACAGGGGTGGGTAAGTTTAAAAATCAATTGATTGGAAGAGCTTATAATAGAATTAATTGTAAAGACTATTCGAACACATCTATTTGACGTACCATTTGTATTTCCTTGCAGAGGAAGAAGAGGGTGGTTTGTGTTTTATGAGTGAGATATCAGTCGGGAATAAGTATGTGGTCTTCTTATCCAGTTTCTATTCTATGAGATACAAAGAACAAGACTTTGGAGATTACACCGACATAATAAATACAGCTTGTGGTCTTGGAGTTAAAAGAAAGGAACCTGTGGGTTAGTTCATTTTTCAAAGTTTTTAATATATACACATGTATTTAATACATCTTCAAATATGGTTTATGTAATAGTTTGTTATGCGGCTCATTACAATTCCATTCCAGGTGGGTCTACAGGCGTATGTCAGGATGTGGTACATAGAGCTTGTCCTACCACCACCACAGCAGTTCTAACAAGAAGTAAGCCGTACAATGAATTACCTAGTGGCAATCAGAAATTTTACAAATATTTTATTAAAAATTTCAATCAGAGTGCTTAAAGCAAATTCTAAAAAGTTGGATAGTCTAAAAAATAGATCTATCATTGACAATCAAGCCAAATACCAGTAAAATGAATTTTCAGGCCTCTGCAAAATAAATTGGTATCTGTGGGATTATTTTATTTTCTATTCTTTTAAACATTTGTATAACGATCATTTTATACAAATTAATACATCTTTTCTTATTGTTGTTAATAATAAGGCATTTTTATTTCATCTTAAATAAAACAACTTTCATTTTAGCACATTAACTGCAAGAATTTTTCTGAATTTGTTGTATGCCAATTCTTTTACATTTTGCAACAGGGTGGGACACTTTGAGAGGGCTGTGTGGGGATACTCATTTAAATTCTAATTTCATTTTGCTTACGTCATTAAAATGACAAAATCCAAAACGCTTATATAACACACTTCAACCAAGAGTATGTAAACCTGTTTAAAATGTTAAATTCTTTGATATGCACAGGAACAAAGAAGCCAAGGAAAACCACCACCACCACAACTCTCAGATCCACCACCACCACACTTAGATCAACCACCACAGTTAACAGATCAGGAGGTGGCTCTGTGGACAATGAATCTAAACCACTGGATAACAAAAATGGACTGGGCAAAATTGACAGTCAAACACAACAGAGGCCCCACACAAGGGGAATGGGAAGTAAGAATGGGGACTCAGGCCCAGTATACAGCACCATGTTACTCATAGCTGCCACCGTTTGTTCACTTCTAGACGTCATGTAAATAAACTAACAAGTTTATATAGGTCGGTGACTTGCTTCTGATTGACAACATAATCAGATTGAATATTACTTGTTTTGTGTATATATATATATATATAAAAAACAATGAAATATTTTGTTGTTTTTATATAAAGAACAAAAAATATTAACAACCACTTTACAAAGAAAACTTCCTCCTGCTTGTGTCCATTTCTTTCCTCTGAAACCAAATGAAACACTGTGAGTACCGGTACTTAAAAATTTTAAACACAGTAAGCATGTTAAGTATCAATGACTTTAAAACCAAAAGTATTAAAGAGATTCCTGGTAAATATTGTATACTAAGTATCAAAATTTGAGCATATGGATATTAAGAAATTAAACACACTGATGGCTTAATTTTTCAATACTTGAATCGTTAAAAAATTAAAGTATTTATCAAAGTATAAAAAGCAAATCAAAAGTATCTATTAATGCCAAAGTTAATATTCCTTGCTTGAATTTCCTACAGGTGACCATAACTTACCTTGTGAACCCATTCATATTCTCCGAACTTTGAATCAAATGTTCCCTTCTGTAATGATCTTAGCTTCAATGTAAATCTAGGTCCTAGCTCCTTTAATCCAACCCTCTTATTATTTCTGAACACATATCTGCAAAACAAAGGAGCGATAATAATGGTAAACTGTTAAATCTAAAATTTTATAGAAATGACTATGAGTATATGTAGTCTGTATTATTAAACTTTCCCTAGAATTAATTTAAAACCAACCTGTGATGCCTAAAGAATATGAAGTCTCTTTGATTATGGAGAGTGACCACTCGTCGTCCATGGAATTGTGGGTCATGAGGAAATAAGGAGGCAAACACCCTCCCAACTGAGTGACCAAGGCGGGTGTTGAAATTATTTAGAATCAGTTCTGGTTTATGTTTACTCATTTCTCCAACCCTCTTGAAAATAAAAAATAGACATTATAGACAATGAAACTTATCACCACTCAACATTTAGGCATCAGAGCTTATAGATAATCAGTTTAAGCTATGTCTGGAAATCAAATGCATAAATTCTAAGTTTGATTCAGAATTATAAGCACAGATTAATCAAAATTTTCTTCATCATCTGGAATATATATGCTTTATCTCTGAATAAAAGAATAATGATACCAAATAATATAACTTGTCTGTAATCAAAAATATCAGTTTTGAAACTCTAAGAACAAGGAGCAATAAAGGAGGAAAATGGATTCCACCTGAAGTGATATGTTTTCTGTACCTTGATTTCTGTGGTAAGCCTGACACTACTGAGCTTGAAGTGGAGAGTGGGGCCCTCAGGGAGGTGAGTTATCACTAAACCATCTTACAGAGTGTTAAAGAATCCAAGGGAGGTCACTCACTTTTAAACTCATTTACATAGTAAAACTATTAAAATCTAATTTGTACAACATATATAAATAATCTACAAATACTCAAATAAGAAAATAACAAATAAATAGATAACAATAAAAAATATTCTTTCTTAATCAAAGCATTTTATTACATTTTATATTTCTCAATATTTTGGAATCATTTATTTCGTGGGGGTCAATGTTTGTGGGTAAGTAAAATTTTACCTGTTCGTGGGGATGTAGTTTCGTGGCTTACTCGTAAATACAATGGTTCAATGAATCAATATGTTAACAAAACTAACGTTCAATGCGATGGGATGTAAATTTGTGGGTAAGGGTGACCCTCGAAATCCACAAACATTGGTCCCCCATGAACAATGATGATTCTGCAGAACATAAATTTTAAAAAAATATTTTTGAAGGATACTGGGCTCTTTTCTATCTTCATTCACAATAAGAATGTCTGTGAAGTCCCTCTCTATGGCTTGTGGAATAACCTTCTTTAGGTCCAAACCTCTTCTATACTTAATTTCAGAATTTGGAATTGTCAATTTCAGTTCCTTACAAAATTTATTTGTCCTCTGGAAAAAAAAAAACAGTTATTTTTAAAGTTTGCAATTCAAACAGGAACTAGCATTTGTATAGTTATCATTTCAACATAAAACTGAGCATTTAATATAAAATTTAAATAATACACTTAGAAAAGATGAATTATGACAGGTCACTGGTGTTTATTAATACTTAGAAAATATACTTACAAGACAAGGTCTGTCACAGGTGGTTATTAAAATCTTAGGTGATGTTTCTCTGTTGAAGTATGTTGCCATTTCATCTTGAGCTTCATCCATCATTACCTGGGGGTAAATTTACACCGAAACATTTTATTTACATTATCTATGAATTCTACTAGGGTAACAGTATATCCATGAGCTCTTTATAATGTCAAATATTAAAAAAAAGTCTCTGATAAAATAAATGTCGTTAAGAAGTTTGACAAATCATATATTTGGCTTCTCACCTCTTTATCCTCAGGATCAACCATTGTTTCATCCTTGACTCTCATGCTCTCTATTGTTTTGGGCACTTGCTTTGGTGCATCCTTATAAATTATTACACAAAAATGTATTAAGACAACAATCTCATTTAAAATTTTGCTTAAAGAATAACTTGCAATTATCAATTTTTAAAAATTCTTAGTCTATCAAATGATGTGTATTTTAGCTACATAAAATTTAGAAACTGAAAAATAGAAATATTTTGTATTGCTTGTTTTTATAAACATAAATCAACTCCTCTTAAAAAGCTCTCATTATTATATGTGATAAGAAACTAATGAAGTACCTCTTCACCCATGTCCTCTGCCTCTTTTTTCTTTCTCTGTTTCTCTTTTAGTTTAGCCTATAAAATAAATATATGATAACGTAAAATTACTAAAAATATATTCTACCAGGAAAATTAATGTTAATTAATTAAAAACGAAAGTATGACGTGTGACTTAGTGTCGCTCAGTTTGTCTCAGGACTTTACAATTACAATGAAGGTAAAAGTAAAGTCGTACCCAAACAAAAATATTTGAAAATTTTATCGGTAAACTCGAATGCTTTCATTTTATCAATGACTGTTATTTCATTTCTTTGTTCTTCTGTTTGAAAATATTTTGGTTCCACTTTTCCCAAAATTTGTTCAATTTTGGACTGAATCTGGGGTGGCAAAATATTTTATAAGTCACATGTGATACTTTCTTTTTCTGCAGAAGCCAAGGTGTTGTCGATTTTGGATGTTTACGAGAGAAACTGACCAAGACTACATGTAAACAAAGAAAGATTAAAATTGCAAGTAAGACCGTCAAGAAAAAACATTTATTAAGGGATATGAACTGGCTCGTAGATATAGTTTAACAATTTAAGCGAGAAAATAGCTGAAGAAGCGAGGTAGTATCCAAACTGGCATCCTCCCTTGTGTTTTTTCTCCGAGGTACAAATTTTTTAAACTGAATCATTTTCTCTACACAAGCCCCTGTGGTCCTATTAAAAATCAAAGTACTGAAAGTACTGATAGACGGAGGCTTCATGTTTGAGAGAACACAAAAGAAATATTTGTTATACATTGCTGTAAAGAATATTATGAGGAATAATGTGTAGTTTTTTCAAATTCAACATTTGTTAAAAGGATTTGCCAGTATTCATGAGGTTGTTGGGATATTATAATTTCATCTTTGAAATTTGAACTTCACCTTGATCAAAGGTCACTGTTATTTAGATCAAATACTTTCAATAAGAGACACCTTCAACGTAAGAAACAGTAATTGACCAGGCCGGGGTGCCAGAAAACTTAGATGGGTAACTTTTGATCTCAGTCTCACTTCTCCTTAAGGAATATATAGTGGAAAACCGAGACTGAGATCAAAAGTGAGCTTGTCCAAGTTTTGTGTCCCCCAGGCCAGGTTTGATGAATGTAGGTCTAGTCTATTCTAGTCATGAGCCCACTGGCGGATTTAGAAGGGGTCCCGGGCCCCCTCCCTTTTGAGTCCAAAAAATATACAATATTTAATAAAAGAATGTTTTTAATTGTGGCTATGGGCCCCTTCCCTGACCTCAAACTGGTCGCCCCCCTTTTTCAAATTTCTGCCAGTCAGGAGTTTCCATATTTCAAGATACAATGTATCTTATTCATAGGTCACAGAGACCTACATGTACTGTTAACATAATTATGACATCTTCTACCAAAGATGTATCAGCTACCAAAATCAAAATTTCTCGGCCTGATTGTATAAATGTTATGATATGAGCCAACAGGAAAAAAGAAGCAGCCAGATAATTGGACATGAACAACATAATATAGTACAGTTTGTCTTAAGCCTTTGTGATAAAAAATGGGGTGACATAGCTTGAAAGCAACATAGATTATTTTCTAAGTAATACAACTTTATGAACATGCAATAAATGTTCTTGAACACAATTTTTTGAGTGGAATAAAATATTATGCTTCCTTACTTTATGTTAACAGAACAAAAATTTTCATAAGACTTGATATTTCACAACTTTTTGTTTTTGTAGAACTATTGCTTACAATAACAAAGATATATATCTTGACAAATTTGACAACCAATATTTCAGGAAGTATTAAATGTAGTATTATATCATATGACAGATTTAACCCAAAAATGCTTTTCTTTACTCGTATACCACTGTTAATGATTGTCCTTTTCAGTTTATCTGTTTAAAACAATCATTAACAATGAGACATGATTACAAATTATGTAGAGAAAAAGTTAAATAAATATATGACTATGATTTCTACTTTTCAGTAACTGTTAAAACAATCACTTTACCAATGATATAGGGTAAAAAAAAAATTGACACGAATACCAATGATAAGAAATACATGTAATTTTGTATATAAAAAAGTATTTGGGTTGTAACCAATCGGGTCAAACGTAACAGATGCATATTAATCTCAATATCAGAGTTGTTCGTTTCTCTCTTAGAATGTATGGGCATGCCGAATGTATGTCAAACACTCAAACTGTTTGTAGAAAGTGTAAATTTATTTTCAGTTATTTCCTAAAAATATACATATAAAATAAACAATTTTAAACTAGACTGTAAATAACTTAATATCCCTACGGATAAAAATACTGTGTATGCATTGTTAATTCATCGATCCTTATCAGATTACAAAACTCACTAGAAACATATTGACGTAAACGTCAAAAATCTGCCGCAAACCAATCAATTGGTCCTTTTATGAAGAAATTAGAAAAGGGATGAAAAATGGAGATTATAAACAGCAATCAAGCACAAAATTCCATTGAAACTAAAATGCTTGATCTGTTATTAAATTATCTTATATTTATCTGTTAATTAATTATCCCTGTGACATTAAACATTTGCATGCGACATTGTAGGATTTTCTTCAGTACATAATACAATTACATTACTACATTTTTAAGCAAACTACTCATAGCCCTCTGCGTCTCCACACTCAGTTTGATATAAACGAATTCTGGTGCTAGTGGAAGTTTAATTTTTAAGTAGTTTTTACAATTAAAGATTAAAACTAAAGTTTAAACTTATCTTTAACTCGAGATAGTTTTACTTTAATAAAAGAAGCAATAGATACTGGGGCTCCTCGATCGCTCTCCGAGGATGTTAAAAAAACCCCCAAACTCCCTCTAGATCCGCCACTTCATTTCTTCTCTTTCTTGTTTTGGTGTGAGATTTGGTGGGAAAAGACTTGGCATATTGTAAAACACGCTTTATCATCATCTGTTGGAACAAAATCTCCTAATATTCTGTCTAATAATGAATTAACATTTAATCATATTTTTGAAACATCTTCCGTAGGAAATGTATTTATATACACGTCATTTAAAACATATACAACAAATCCTGTTTATATAGAGAAAGTAAAACTGTTTGTTTATACATGTATGTAATGCAGTCTTTGCTTTAGACTATGCCCGACAAGTGTGTTTATTGTCTCGAGTGCACTGTTCAACAGAAACGCACGACGACTTCAAACTTTCATATGAAGTAACCGACCGCCTCCTGGTAATGAAAACAATTCCACCGATAGATGGTGCTTGGTGAATCATCATTATTTGACGTCATGGGCAAGACATTCACAATATACGGACAGGTCCAGCACAATACCCCGATAAAGGTATATAGCTTGATAAAGCTATATAGCTTTATCAAGGTATTTAAAATACCTTGATCAAGGTATTTTATGTAATGAAAATTCAAAAAAATTCTTTAAAAATTAAATACTGAATCAGTCTTCACGAAAACTCACTGGTCCGAAGACCGAGGCCAGTGAATTTTGATGTCGGGTAAGTGAAAATCAAAATTCAAGAAGTCCGATAGGCTTGTTGATTCTGAAATCATACACAGTCAATATATATTTTTACTGACTTACTTGCATAAATTTCATTAATATATAAAATAAAAAGAACAAGCATGTGTTGTTGAATCGTATTATGATAACCCTATTTGAACATGGATGTATTACGTAACAACCGGAACTAGCTAGTAACTATTAACTAGTAAGTAAAATGTGCAAAATTCCAACGAACAACTTACCGAAACGCAACAAAGGACGAAAAATGGCGGCATTTCGAAAGTAAGTACGTAAACATGTATTAATTTACAGTTATGAAAATGTATTTATTTTATTATTTAATTAAGGGGCCAGTAAAAATTTTGGTGGGCCAGTAAGTTTGAAAGTTCACTGGTCCGACTGGCCAGTTAGTTTGAAAAGTTTTCGTGAAGACTGCTGAAAGTCGAGTTCTGAGTTTTTGTCAGTGTGTCTACTCGTGCATGAAAAACACTCTGGTATCAAAAAGAAAGCATAAAATAACGTCTCCTCACACGACACGTTTTTATACTGATTTGTTTGTGTTTGAGTACTTTACATGCATGGGTGAATTTACTGACAACAACTCAGAACTCGACTTTCAATAATTAATTTTTTAAGATCTTTTTTGAATTTTCATTACATAAAATACCTTGATCAAGGTATTTCAAATACCTTGATAAAGCTATATAGCTTTATCAAGCTATATACCTTTATCGGGGTATTGTGCTGGACCTGACGGAGGCTGTTATACAGCCTCCGTCTAAAAAGAAGCCATAATTTACCTTCCTTTTCTCAGCTTTGAGTTTTTTGTACATTTCATTTCGAAGAATTTTATTTTTTATGCGCGAAATATTTGGTTTAGGAATCGTTTGTACAGGTTCAGAGGCATCGTCTTGATTCTCTTCTTCCACGTTTTCCACTTTCATCTTTTTCGTTTTAGGGGCCATTTTGTTATTTTGATTGGTCATTCCTTATACTATTCGCTTTACGAAATTTCATAATGAAAATATTCTGAGGTTAGAATAAAACTATTTTAATTCATCATGATTATTTGAATAACCACTTTGGTGCTGCATTGATATCTTTGAATTACGTCACTTAATTATTATTTGTTTCAACTTCTTAACCAGTTAAACATGGTACGTTCTATCAAAAATTCAAAACGCATGGTAAACTGGTTCCCATCGGCGCGTCGATTTACCCAAATGGACCCAAATGGACCCAAATGGAACCCAAATGGACCCAAATGGACCCAAATGGAGCCCAAATGGACCCAAATGGACCCAAATGGAAACTCAAATGGACCCAAATGGAAATCAAATGGAATATTAAATATGTATTATCGTATTTTAATACTTATTTAAATGATGAAAATAAATGAACTTACAGTTACAAATGGATTTTTTTAAACTTAATTAACTGTAATATTGTATTTTGAAACACGAAGTTTTGATAGTATTCTATATACCGGCAAAATTATTTGGGGGTAGGGGCAGGGGGTAGGCATGGCCTCCACCCCCCCCTCCCCCACCTCCACCTCCGTTCCTACGGCCATAAAAAATATCAAATACTTCAGTTTTGTATTCAAGTGTGTTCACTAATATTTATTACAAATAGAATTAAATCACATTTTTAAAAATACATTTGAAGAAAACAATGATATTATAATATTCTTTATTTGTTTTAATTTCATTATTTTCTATATTTTAAATAAGTAAAAACTTGAAATATGATATAATATATATATTTTATATTCCATTTGGGTCCATTTGATTTCCATTTGGGTCCATTTGAGTTTCCATTTGGGTCCATTTGGGTCCATTTGGGTTCCATTAGGGTCCATTTGGGTCCATTTGGGTAAATCGACGCACCCGGTTCCCATTAAACTTGTTCTTGGATGCTGGGAAAAAAACAAGACTAGTTGAAGATAAAACATGCATGATTTGGCACTGCATCAAGCATTTAATGTTATGATTTGAGCAGAGTGGGTACTAGAATTTTTCATAATATTTTTGATTTCTGATTTTCTAAATATTTTTTTTCTTCAAATACAGGCTTAGATTTAGAAGGCTATTAGATAGAATGTTCTTTCGTTAAAATGATATTGTCCTACGGACCCGGTTTAATTGTGGTGAGGGCTTGTACCGAGACACAGTTATAGATTATTCTAACTAGTTAGTATGGTATTTACCTTTTTTCACCATGTCAGGCATGTGACCATGCAGTCTATCCAGGGATCGACACTTTAACTTTAAAACTATAGTTGTCAGGAGGGCTAGCCATTTCTAATTTCTACTAGCCCTGTTCATGTATTACTTGTCCAACAGCCGAAGGCTGGTGGGCGAGTCGTGAAGCGACGTAGGGGGTAGGTGCGGGAGGGGGTTTGCCCCTCCTGCTGGTGGGGGTATGCGGGGCCTCCCCAGGGAAATTTTGAAAATAGAGATGCAAAATCCTGCATTCTGGCTATATTTTGGGTAAAAATTATATGTCACTCTATGATTGTACCTTAAAGACATTTTTTTCCTATTCGAAAAATTCCATATTTATAATCATTTAGGGTATTTCGAATCACCTTTAAAGTTTACATTTTGACTTACAAAAATAATAATTATGATGATAAGACATGTTTGAAAATGAATTTAACAATTATCAAGTATATTGTGTGTAAATTATAATTATTTTCTTGCTCTTAGTGAGTAATTGGTAAAATTTACTGTAGCCCTGCAGGGCAAATTTAAAGACATGTTTGGTAGCCCGACCTCAGTATTCAGTTGTCCCGGGCCAGTGGGCTAGCGTTAGTGTCGAACCCTGCTATCTAAGTTGTATGTTCGTTCGCCCTAAAACTGTAAAATTTGTTCGCCCAAGATGCCGTTCGCACTAATTCCAGTTCGCCCAGAGTCCGCTTGCCCTGAAACTTGTTTGCACAGGGACCGTTCGCCAAATTTAATATACAAGAAGGATCTACTGAATTTCTTCAAAGCTAAAACCTTCATTATCCGCTGCTCAGTTCCATATTTGACTTAATTATTAACGTTTTTAATTGTTTTCAAAACATAGTGCAATTCGCAAAAATAATACGGATGTATCCCCCTAATTAACATTTATATTAATCATATTAATCATCTAATTAACTAATGCAAACACTAAGGTCTTTAAAAACATTAGAATCAAATTAAAATCTATGATTATTATTAAGACTAAATAAACATTAGTCTTCGTATCGGAATTTGAATAAAAATTCCAAGTTCATAAAGAAATCAAATAGAATAAAAATGGTTTTTGTTAATTTTTAACTCATATATTTATATATATATATATACAAGTATATATAAGTTTGGGGCAAACAATATTTCATGCGAATGGACTATGTGTGTACGGACTCCTGCGAACAGGTAGATCAGGCGTACTAACGCGATAGTGTCTATCTAGTGCACAATATTTGTCCCAACTGGACCTATTAATTACTGCAGTAGATCATTAAATTTTCGCAACACCTTATTTTCGCGAGATAGTTATTGACTCTTTATTAGCAAGGCGTAAGTTTCACGAACTGTGTTATTCCTCTATATAATCGTAAGCAAATATTTTTATACGTGAAAATGAAATTTTTCGCAAGCTCGTTGTCATGGCACATAATTATGCGAAAATAAAGTTCTTGAGAATAAAAATTGATTTACATTAGTAGACTGACCAAACTCAGTGATCATGGATGCCTTAGTGTCCAACCCTGCATGAAAAGTATATGTCATTGAATGAAAATTGGTTTGTAACCAAAGGAGTGAAATGAGAAGAGATATTGCAAATATTGTATGAAATTTTATAGGATTTTGACAAGATGGCAGTCCGCTTTGAGTCCATTCCAGTCCTGGATGTGAATATTAACAACATCCACCATCTATGGCCATCATTAATGAAAGCAGTGGAGTCAGCCACATTTATTGCTATAGACACAGTAAGATGAAGGGGAAGGGGGAATCTCTGATGAAAAAAATGACTAAGATTTGCTTTTTATAAAGGAGAATTTAGAGAACTTATGTTATAACTTTATATTTATGATTTGCCCTTGAATTTATAGGAATTAAGTGGCATAGGAACCAGGAAAACTCTCATGGCGAAGTAAGTGAATAATGTACATATATAGTATGGATGCATGAAAATTAGAATTATAGATTATGTACAATATAATAAGTATATTAACTGTATGATAGAATATAAAGGCAATTTATTTCATAGGTCAGTTGAAGATCGGTACAAAGGAACAGCAGAGAATGCCAAATCACGTTCAGTCGTCTCCCTTGGACTATCATGTTTTCAGTTGACACATGTCGACACAAAGTCCGGTAAAAACACCAGTGACATGTCTGATGATTCCTCCGTGGACGACGGCGCCGAGAGCTGTCGCGTGTGGAATTTCCTCGTACAGACCTACAATATCATGGCCCTGTGTCAGGAGGAATACATCGTGGAGCCAGCTTCTCTCAGATTTCTAGTGGAGCATGGGTTTGATTTTAACAAGCAGTATTCCTGTGGTGTGGGGTACTATAGGGGCAATGACAAGGTGTGTTTCATGGCTTTGTTGATTAAATGAAATAAATTTTAGTTTAAGAAGTATTTTATTCATAATACATGTATACAGAAAAGTATACAATATGAATATTGATTGAACAGCAGGCAAATACTAGGCCTATATTAGTTCTCTCCAAAAAATATCAATAAATTTTGTCTCATATATAGCCAAGTAAAAAAAAATAAATCAAATGAATAAATTAAGTTAGTATAAAGAGAATAAAACTAACTCCTAAAAAAAATTAAAATTAACTTAGATTCTCTTTACTGAAATGTTTGAATTTGAGTTGTCTTTCTTTTCTTGTGAAAACCTATTTCATTTAATACTTTTATGTACATGGACACTTTGCAGTTATTCCTCTTTTCCTCTTTTCCTCTTATTTGCAGACTGCCAAGATTACATGATTTAAATGTACTAGAATACTGTGCACCATTTTGAAATGATGCTATCATGTATATTATTGAAAATTAACTCTCTGGGAAAAAATAATTGAAATGAAAGCATTAAAGCAATACTGTTTTCTCTTATAGGCAGAATCTCCTTCTAGTAACGTAAGTTTAAGATCTCTGTTTACAAAACTAGTCAGGAGCAGTAAACCGGTGGTATTTCACAACGCCCTGACGGACCTCGTATACCTGTATCAGAATTTCTACGCCAACCTACCAGCCACCATGTCATCATTCATCTCCGACCTGACAGAAATCTTTCCTAGTGGCGTGTACGACACAAAGTACATCACGGACTACGTCCACCGAATGCCAGCCTCCTACCTGGAGTATGTGTTCAGAAAAAGGTAAATAGGACGTCTCCTTAAAGTCATATATAGCGTATTTAAGTTCAGACTAACTAAAATTAAAGAGATCTTTCTATTTGTTATTTTATGTAAAGATTGGACTTTCCTGTAAATTACCGGCCGCAGGGGTACATAATTTAAATCAATCGCATTTCATAGATTTCTGAGATTCAATCTGATTAAAATACAGATCTCTGCATAGCGAAAATAGCACTTTGCGCTGTGTAGCAATCTGATTAAAACCAGATCCTTTGATCCGCTCACATAGATCGCTACACAAGGATCTGAAGAAACCCCATTCAGGGTCATCTCCTGGTGACCTTTGAATTATCCAATCAAATGTTCACTTTGGAGAATTGGAAAGTATCTCGGAATTAAGTTACAGAGGGGAAAGGCCAGATGATACACGAATGGAAAAATCGTGACCTACTCCTAGTTCCTGTAGCCTGTCAAGAGATTGATTGATTGATTGTATATTGTTTAACGTCCCCCTCGAGAATTTTTCACTCATATGGAGACGTCACGTATGCCGGTGAAGGGCTTCAAATTTTGACCTTTACTCGGCACTCAGGGCCATTGAGCAGTGAGGGGTCTTTAACGTGCCAACGCCTGCCGCTGACACGGGGCCTCGGTTTTTAAGGTCTCATCCGAAGGACCCGCAACTTTCACTTCAATGTGCGGAGCGCATGGCGAAGGAACAGTTGCTACCCATTTTAACGACTGGGTCAGTCGCGGCCGAGATACGAACTCACGACCTCCCGATCATGGAGCGAGCGCTCTACCGACTGAGCTACCGTGAACGGTGCCTGTCAAGAGAAGGACCAGAGTCTTTTCTGTACAGTAATATAATAAGTACTTGCTTTTGTCTTGTTTTTTAGCTCTTTGTTTTGTACAAAATGATAAGAACTCCTCCGCAGCTACTTTCACTTCTATATTCATTTTCCCGAATGTCGCTTAAGTACGATCTCTCTGATTGGTCAAAATTTTCATGAATATTTTTATTAGAAAGGTCACCAGGAGATGACCCTGAATGGGGTTTCTTCAGATCCTTGTGTAGCGATCTATGTGAGCGGATCAAAGGATCTGATTTTAATCAGATTGCGCTGTGTAGAGATCTGTATTTTAATTAGATTGTCTGAGATTTAAAACAATAACCGATTTATTTGCAGACTCGACATTTAAATATCAGACACAGTTTAAAGTCAATTTAACCATAGAAATGTGGGGATATTTCAGTTGAAAATTGGTGAAAATTCTAATTTGAATGTAATTAGTAAATATCACGTAAATCTACACTTAATCTCATATTTTTATCTTTAATCTCAGATATGCCAGATATAGTTTTAAGGAACTACTTTCTATTATATATGTTAGTGTTACAGATGCCCAGAAAGGCTTGTTATATTACAGTTAGCCCAGTCTATATTGTGAACACCTAAAGTAATGATTTTTGACCAATTTTCTCATTGTTGCACAGAAGTGGATTTTTTTTTACTTACAAATGGTAGAGTATGTAGGCATTCATCATGTTCATACACTTCACACAGTTCAAACAACACCAATTGAAACTAATGAGATAATGTGGTTATATGTCATTTTTCATAGAACCATATTGTTTGGGAATCAATTAGGTAAGTTATGGGTCATTATTACCTATAGATAAATTGGATATGATTTCTCCAAGATTTGGGAAATCAAACTGACAGACAAATTACATATGGCAATTAAGGCCAACTTAAGATTTATGAAGTCTGTCTTCTTTTCAAAGCAGCATAAAGCATGCACATTCAAATTAGAATTTGTTTAAATAATTAAATTTTTTATCTTTCTTAGTCAGAGAGACAATCTTCAGCGATACGAAACGGACAAGTCATCAGTGACCATAAATATCCTCCCGTACCCCCCTAGTGACACGGTTAATCAGTGTAGGTGTGGACTCCCCCAGAAAACCCTCCAGGACACTGACCCAGACCCAGATACATTCCAGGCCATCAAAGACCACATCTGTCAAGGATTCGCTGTAAGCTACATAAAATTGAAATTCTGGTTCTCAGGCCCGCGCGCATCTATTTTGAAGTAGCCGCATTGCTAATTTTATTGTATTTTTGATCAAATAAAAAGGTGGTATTGCGGAGACCAATCTGGAAAAAAAAGTTCCATCCTCATTTTTTTTGTAGTTTAATACTCAAATATCACTTCCGGTAGCCATTTGCAAAGAGATTCTGGCTACTTCATTTGAAAATATATTGGAAGACATTGCCTACGATTTTCACATGCTGATAAGCAATGGATAAAGCAAACCTTTGATCAGACATGTAAAGTATATCTGTAAATAAAAAAATTAACTTCATTTTTAAAGAAAATTCGAAAATTATAATAAAAAAAATACCTCCCTCATCTATTTTATTGCCAATAAAATGATAAATAAAATGCCTCCTGCCCGCATCTGTTTTGGAGAAAATTGGCCTGAGAACCAGAGAATTAAATTTAGGTAGCCTAAGATTTTGCTTTTTATTTGAACTCCCCCCCCCCGTCAAAGAAGGGAGGGCATATTGCTTTTCTGCTGTCTGTCTGTCTGTCTGTCTGTCGGTCTGTTAGTCCACCATCAGTTTCCATTCATTTTATTTGCAGAGGTTGCAAAAATTGAAAGGAAATTTGGTATACAAATTTATCATAAGAATGTCTGGGTCAAGTTCTGTTTTGGGTACCATTAAGTCATCATGGACAGATTTATGCCCCTTGGCCATAGAAAATATTCCAATTAAGAGAGGGGTTGCTATTTTGATCAATGTTAATACCGATATCAAAGTAATCTCAGAAAAAGGAGATGCAGATGGAAATTATCTTATACTTTTAAAAAACAAATATAGAGAACCATGAGGTATTGATATGTAATATTTATGCTCCGAATACTGATAAACCCGATTTTTTTGAAAATATACAGAATCATATAGAAGATTTGCAGTGTAGTAACATTATCTGGTGTGGAGATTTTAATTTGGTTCTGAATCCAGAGTTAGATTATTATAATTACAAAAAAATTAATAATCCAAATGCAAGGAACAAACTTTTAGAAATAATAGAGGTTAATTGCTATGTAGATCCGTTTAGGCAACTTCATGAAACACTTCGTAGATATTCATGGAGAAAAAAAGTCTCCATTTAAGCAAAGTAGGCTTGACTTCTTCCTACTGTCAGATTCACTTTTATCAGGATTAGATACATGTACTATAGAACCCAGTTACAGATCAGATCACTCTATTATTTCTCTTTCGCTGATATTTAATGACTTTAAGAGAGGTCGCGGTTGTGGAAATTTAATAATTCATTGCTTTATGATGAAAATTACTTGAACTGTATTAAGGATGTTATTTTACAAGTCAAAAAACAATATGCAATCTCGGTATACAACTATGACAACCTCCATACAGTGCCAGATGAAAATATATGCTTCACTATCAATGATCAACTATTTTTGGAAATCTTACTATTAGAAATAAGGGGTAAAACTATATCTTATTCAGCATATGTCAAAAAGAAGAGAGAAAATGAGGAAAAATTATTGATGGAGGACATTAAATGTATGGAAGAAAATATTTCTGAAAGTAATTTAGAAGAACTAAATGTTAAAAAACAAGAATTAGAAAAAATTAGAAAGCACAAGTTACAAGGTAATTACATAAGAAGTAGATCAAGATGGATTGAGGAGGGGGAAAAGCCCACTAGTTACTTTTGCAAACTGGAGTCTAGAAATTTTACAAGTAAAATTATACCAAAATTAGAAATAGATAATGGCAAGATTATTCATGATCAGTCACATATTTTGAAAGAAATTAAATCCTTCTATGAAAATCTATACACCATTAAAGAAGAAAATACAGACTTAAATCTAGATAATGAGTTAAATAATACTGATGCTCCCAAACTTTCTTGTGAAGAATCAAACAATTTAGAGGGTGAAATAACCTTGTTAGAAGCCTCGAATACTCTTTATAATATGAAGGCTAACAAATCTCTAGGATCAGATGGTTTTTCCACAGAGTTTTTTAAAATGTTTTGGAAATATATTGGGCATTTTGTTGTAAGATCTATTAACTATGGTTACAGGAATGATATTATGTCTATTACGCAAAGACATGGTGTTATAACTTTATTACCTAAGGGCGACAAGCCAAGACATTTCATTAAAAACTGGCGTCCTATTACATTGCTAAACACTGTATACAAAATAGCATCTGGCTCCATTGCAAACAGATTTAAGAAATATTTAGATAAAATAATCAACCCTGACCAAACTGGTTTTATCTCCAAGAGATATATTGGAGAAAACATAAGATTGATATATGATGTAATGCACTTTACAGAAGAAGAAGATATTCCAGGACTTTTATTATTAATCGATTTTGAAAAAGCTTTTGATTCTCTTTCCTGGAACTTCATACAAAAAACTTTGCACTTTTTTGATTTTGGCCCTTCCATTAGAAAATGGGTCACTCTTTTCTACACTGACATTAAAGCTACGGTTAATCAAGGAGGTAACTTTTCTGATGTAATTAAAATTCAAAGGGGATGCAGACAAGGAGACCCTTTGTCTCCATATATTTTTATACGCCCGTCTTAAGACGGGACGTATTATGTTATAGGCTTCGTGTCCGTCCGTCTGTCTGTCTGTCTGTCTGTCTGTCTGTCTGTCTGTCTGTCCGTCTGTTAGCTTTTCTCGTGTCCGGCTCATAACTTTAATACTATAAGGCCTAGAGTTACCAAACTTTGTCAGCTGATTCATCTTGGGTAGAAGGTGTGTCTCGCACAAAAAGTAGGTCACTCTGACCTTTAATAAAGATGCTATAGCCAAATATGGAAAAATCCTGTCTGGCTCATAACTAGAAAACTATGAGACCTAGAGCTTTCAAACTTGGCAAAAGTATACAGCTAAAGTAGAAGGTGTGTCACGGCCTATTTCAAGGTCACTGTGACCTTTAATTTAAGTGAATTTTTTCAAAAAACTAAGTCTTTTAAATTTTAAGCTTCATAATCCTAAAAAATGTAAAAATATAGTTGTATCCTTATTAAAAAATGTTAAATTAAGTAAAAACTTATTTTTTCATTTTATACTTTACAGCAATCTGTAACAAATGTTTATGCTTTGAGAGGAATTCAGTTTGTCCCATGGGCATAATTATCAAGCACTGGTCAAGAAGAATTTTGATAGCAGAAACTTTCATGTCAAATAAGAGAGAAATTAATGAGTTAATTGTCAGGAGCTAAGACCATCTCTAGATCTGATGCAGCTGTTATCTTAATTTATCTCTTGGGAGTTGGGCAAAAAGAAATGGCCTCATAGTTGCTTGTGTTAATTAAGAGTTCTTGATGGCTAGTCCAGATAAAGATCTTCCAATTGGTGTAATGTAATTAAAACAAATTTATGTTTTAGTGTATGATTAAAACTAAATTAGTATTGTATAATATAATTAAAACTAATTATTAATATACATGTGTTCATTAAGAAAAAACATATGTTTCAATTTTTATATATATTTGCAACAAATTGCAGTCATGTCTCACTTAGCATTTTATAGTCTGAAGAAATTATAATTTATGTTTGAATTTTTTTTATTAAACTCTAGCATTCCTATTATTTCATAAAATATGCAATAAACAGTTTAAGTTTAAGTAAGCTGCAGATGGATATTTGTTATGCTCTAACACAACCAGTTTAGAGATATATGATGTATTTGTTATAATCAATCCCTACACTGCAAGTCTCTTAGAGATGTATGATAAGAAATGGAAATTAAATCATTGAAATCTGTGTCAATCTGTTAATCAAGGCTACCTGATTTTCTTGCATCCTAACCAATTTATGATTATTGAACAATATTTGACGGGCGTATCATGCTGTGGCGGGGCACTTTATTCTGATATGCGCTGAGATTTTAGCTATACAAATTAGGAAAAATAAAAAAATAAAAGGTATCACCATTGGAAATGTAGAAAAAAAGATATCTCAACTGGCGGATGATACTTCCCTTATTCTTGACGGAAGTGAGGAGTCTCTTTTAGAAGCACTGAATACCTTGAACACTTTTTCGAATATGTCTGGACTATGTATTAATTACTCAAAAACACTCACTGTCTGGATTGGATCAAAAAAATACAGTGATGAGGTTTTAATCCCAAATTACCAACTTAATTGGGGAACAACTAGATTTACTTTGTTAGGAATAAATTTTGATGTTGACTTGGAAAAAGTGCCTGAAATAAATTACCAACCAAAGCTAGTACAAATAAAATCCATTCTTAGTCAATGGGGAAAAAGGTTTTTAACACCAATAGGAAAAATTACTGTTATAAAGACTTTGGCTTTACCAATATTAAATCATTTACTTATGTCAATCCCAAATCCATCTAATGTTTATTGTAAAGAATTGGAAAAACTTTTTTTCTCATTCTTATGGAATAATTCAACACATAGAGTTAAGAAAGATGTCATTGTTAAAAGCTACGAAGATGGAGGACTGAAAATGATAAATTTATATTCTTTCATTGCTTCATTGAAATTATTTTGGATTAGACATCTGGTTTATACTAATAAAGGGTGGGAAAATTTCATAAAGAATATGAACATGTATAAATTTACATCCTGTGGAATTGAATACAATATCATTCAACTTATAAAAAACTTAAAAAATAAATTCTGGATTGATGTATTCAAGTCCTGGATTGATTTGAATAAAATTTGTAGTAATTCTGAGGTAAATGTGGACTGTCCATTGTTTTATAACCCTAATATCCATATTGGAGGGAAAACCTTTTATAGTAAAAAACTTTTTGACAATAGTATTAGATATATCAATGATATCATTGGAGTAGATGGTACCTTTTATAGCTATGAATGCTTTTGCAATATTTATCCAGATGTATAGATTAATTTTTTAGAATATTCTAGTTTAATCCATGCAGTTAAAGCTTGGATAAAGAGGAGTAATTTTGAGAAAAATTTACAAAAATCAGAAAATCCTC